CTGTCACACTAATGGAGGCAGATTGAGGGACTGTATTTGCACTTACTCTCTGTCATTTTTAGTCTGGATCTGTAGCTGATCTTAAATAAATAATGAAAGAAGAGTATGAAAGATGTAGTTCAAATTCATAGCAAAGTTAATATATTTTCCCATTAAGATATTTAAAAATCACACAGGATTTTGGTGGGAGTGTAACTGCCATTAGTTACTTTAATAGCATGAATCATATTTTGAAATATATAGACTAGTATGTTTTGGGTTATTTATTCATTTTTGGTATTTGTTTGCATGCACTATGATATGCCTAGTTTATATTAGGGATGCAACGGTACTTGGTAAAATACTGGACCATTCGGTACACGCTGCACGGTCTGGTACGCCCTTGTGTACAGCGGTATTTCGGTTTTGCACTTCCTTTATACATATTTTATACATAAATAAGAGGCAGTTTATTAGTTTTGTTGTGTTATTATTTGTAGTGTTGTGTTTAAACCGAACCGAAACCGTGGCCCAAATACCGAGGTACGTACCGTACCGTGGGATACCTGTACCGTCGCACCCCTAGTATCTATAGTTATAAATTTTAATCAAAATTAGCTCTAAACCACTAAACATTGGACGTCAGATAGATGTGCAGATCATGTCTATATTGGGTCTCTCAGTCCATGACCAATTCTGGACATCTATACAACGTACGAACTAGGTCCACAATTTGAACGTCCATCCATGACCCAACTTGTACGTCAATATGACATTCAACATTTGAACGTAATTTTTTTGGACGTCATGTGGATGTCTATGACAGGTGCAGGAAATATACTTTTATTTACAAATATCAACATTGTTGTTATCAGCATAATACATGTGAATACAGATTATTTATGTTCAAGGCAATGGAAACGGCTGCATGGCTTTTCAGCCTGCTTCGCAAGTTCACTACCTAAATCCCTATATTGAGTCCACCCATCGTTTTCCTGTAAACTGAAGGTAAGCTTGGTCAGCCCAGTAAATTCTATATCCATTTGTACGTATAGTGTTAGCTAGTTTAGCGTTATTGTCTTAAATTCCAAAAGCTGCTGTGGTTACAGAAGTTAGCATGTGTTAACGGCACAGATTTTTTCGTTTTGCGTTAGCTTGCTGCTATGTACAGCACTCTTGGTTCAGTTTCAATGGTATTTTGACTGTCCACGAGAGCATGTCGTTTAACCCTTTCAGGCTCAAATTGAGTTTTTGTTGCTAAAGGACAACCAAGACCTGCAGTGGTACTTTTGAGTAAAAAAAACTCATAAAATATGTATCTGGGGTAATAAGGTAGTTCGTTTTTAACTGTTGCAAATCAGCAACGCCTGCCTTGAGAGGGTTAATGTAAATGTAAACTGTTTGTAGCTTAGTAGTTAGTGTATAATTGTTAACCATGTTTCCAGATGGTGGAGGACAAGTTTTCTGTACCAGTTAATTTTCCTGTAGCTTTTTGGCTCAACAGATAGTTTGAACTGGAAATGCATTACAACTTTGTAGACGTTTGTTCATCACGTGACAGCCCAATTAGCTAACCAAGGCAGTCTGAGCTGGAAAAAGAATTGATTAGTTCATCTCTCCAGTCTTCGGGTTTGAGTCGTTCGTTCATCACGTCACAGCTCCATAAGTTTAACCTATACAGTCTGAGCCAGAAACAGAATTAATTAGTTCATCTCTCGAGTCTTCGGGTTTGAGTCGTTCGTTCATCACGTGACAGCCCCATAAGCTTAACCTATGCAGTCTGAGCCAGAAAGAGAATTGATTAGTTAATTCCTCGAGTCTTTCGAGTCGTTCATTCTTATGTTATGTGACATGACAGCACTGGATATAGAAATTAGTTACTAATGTACAACCTTCCTTACAAACGGGTGCATAGTTTATTATTATTATTAATAATTATTATTGTTATTATTATTATTATTTATTTATTTTTAGTTTATTAATGTGTGAATTTCTGTCATGATGGTTCTTTTCCATTACACTGAATGTACTATCAGAGATCAAATCAAGTATCAGACATACTTGTTTTGTTTTTTTAATCAATTCTGTTTCCGGCTCAGACTGCATAGGTTAAGCTTATGGGGCTGTGACGTGATGACAGCCCCATGGAGTGAGAGCCTGTCCCAGAGTAAGTGATCCTCACCTGGGTGCCCATCAGTGAATAAGAGGATAAAGAGAAGCATGAGAGGACCCTTATGTGTGTCTCACTGACCTCAGGTCTGTAAAGACTGACACTCACTTCCTGATTCTCCATTTCGTCACTGCCTCCCTTTTACGGGTTTTGTAAGTTTAAAAATCAGCCATCTGTCTTTCACCCTCTTACCCAGGATGGGGTCACAGTCAGCCTGGGGCACATCCCAGGAAGTACGGGACACAAATCAGGGGACACCCTGGATGGGATGCCAGTTCATTACATACAGGCAGTTTATTGTTTCTGACTGCCACAGACATTTATTTCCACACTAAGGGAGGTAACCATAGGATTTGGAGAAAACCTACAAAATGACAGACTGAGAGCCAGGATTCAAATCCAAACACCTGAAAGACAAAAATCATCTGTGTTACACACTGAGACACCATTGCAGCCTGCAGGCTTGATGAAAGGCATTTTTATTAATGTTATGTATGAAACAAATACTGTGCAAGTCAGATACATACTGATACATAATATAACAGCAACAGGGTAGCTTTTAATCCCACAGTCAGAGGAGAGCAGGGAGGCAGTGAAACAGTGAAGCTGTCCAGCAGGGGGCAGTGAAGTGCGCAAGAAGAGAGTAAAATTAAAGCCAGAGTCCCATAGAACTCTGTAAACCCCGACTGGTACATACTGTTTATACACAAGAGACAAACAGACACTGGGAAATACATCAAAATAATGTATATTGTGGTAACAGATATTTTATGTTATACTAATCAAATAGGATAGCCATTGATATTTTTTCCATTTGTACGAATGAAAAGCAGCAATTTACAGAACGCCAAGAAAATACATTTATTCCATTTTGTCCAGAGCAAAGCACAAGTGAGGCAAATAGCACATTGATCATTGTTCAAATGCACAACAGCCATGAATATGTTTCACATCAGCTGACTCTTACTGTCACACTGTAATGTGACAGTGCTGCATGCCATTTAAATACAGCTCACATCACGGTAAGATGCTCCTCTCTGATGATTATCCCTCCCCATCACTGCAGTATCTGTGTGTCCCTCACAGCTGTCATGCTGAAGAGCAGCTCTGTGTTACTGCCCCCTACTGGAAAAGGAACAGATATGCATTAACATCTGCTACTTGATTCGTCAGTTCAGGTTGAGGCACCAACACTTTCCTTAGCATTTCAGGCAGTTTGGTGTGTTAATGTTACTGCTACAGGAAATCAGACTGATAGATTAATCTGGGGAACCTCTTTAGTTTACTTTCATCTGGCGTTTTATTTTTAAGCCAAATAAACTGCATCTATGATGTTGGTATCATGGCTGTATACAGTGTCAAAGGAAACGTATGAAGAATCACAGACTAAATGTATCACAGCTCATGTTAGGCCAGATTGTCCAAACTCACCTCTATGTGCTTCATGGTGAATGAGCTGTAGACCACATTGTTGGCTGACCTTACAGCAGAATGGTGAGAAGAACATCTAGAGGACACCTGCTGAGAGTATTTAGCTGTTTACAATACAGAAACCATAAATTCATAAACTCCGGGGTATCATGGTACTTCTTGATACATTCCAGCTAATTCTGATACACATGGATCTGACAGGTCAGCCGAGTGTAGATGTACCTGCCCAGTGAGGACATTGCTGATACACGTTTTACTCTCATTGTGGTGTCTCAGAGGCCGCAAACAGGAACACATTATGACCATGTATCTCTACAGAACCACCTGTCCATTCTTAAACCGACAGCAATCAAATATCATTGTTGGTGAATTTTGTAAAAATTTTGTGTATCAGTTAATGATTTGTACTTCTATAAGTACTGTCAAACACTTGTTCTTTTGTTCCATGTAGAGACTTTACAATTTAACAACTGGCTTATGAAATAAGCCATAAAATGCAGTTTCTTCACACACTAATAACATTACATGTTTAGAGACAGTGGCTACACATCATATGTGTGTTATTTCTGTGCTTTACATGCTCTGCCGGGTCTCCCTTTATGATGCCAGTTCTGTCTATGTCGTCGTATTCATGATCTGGGTTTAACTAGAACAAAGTCACAACTCAGCGTTCAAAACAATCACTCCTCACATCAGCTTTATTTATAGAGATTAACGTCTTAATGAGTTACTGGCTGTTAACAGAGTTTGATTTCAATTTTTGTTTTTATAAAACACAAAAACCTGCAAAATCTGCTAGTTTCTATCCATATTAAACATGAACTCACTGATAATTCTGTACTTCCAGGATTTTGGTCCATGGCCCTTTTTTTCTCTACAAGGAAAGAAATGAGAAATAAAGTCAAAGCAATTCATTATGATCACATCACTCGGTTTCAAATGATACTGTTAATTTGCTGTACGACAAACACATGGTCATTTCCTCTTGGTTATCATGTACATATGTGTGTAAATGTTATCCAGTCTAATAACTGTATAAAACTACACAAATGTATATGAGCAATTGGCATCTCAGGTGAAATCTGATTACCAACCTACACTTACAGGTAACCCAGTTAATGATGCCCAGCTGGCCCTGGTTTGAGCTACTAACTTGTTTAGGGTTTTATAAGCTCAGCTGGGTGGACACAGACTCAGAGGGTCAGAGGAAAGTCTGCAGGATCATGGAGGAAGGATCCTTCAGGGCTGCTGTGCTCTGATGTCCTGTTTGCTCCACAGTGGCTTTTAGATCTGCACTGTTTTTAGTCTGTGTTCCCAAAGGGACTGTGACCATGTTTTGTGTTTTAATGTTACTGTATAACCTGTATGTCTGAATGCTGCTGTCTGTGTCTCTGTCCAGCCGGCTTTGGAAAAGGATAAAAGCATGAAGTTGTAGCTGCAGCTTACAGGAGTGCAGAGGGACATGCATCACTGCTCAGACAGTCAGGTCACTTATACACCGTCTGCATCAGCAGATACTCACTGCGTATGTCCCACACTTTCCATGTGATGATGATAATGATCAACAGCAGCACAAATAATCCCAGTCCTACATACAGAGCCAGCTGGACCAAGGAGCTGAATAAGTGGGTGGATTTGAAAAGTAAAGTCTTACATGCTTTATAGCAACACAGTACAGCCACATCTGTACTGGGTGATTCCTGTTTTGGACCAACATACCAACATGCTATGAGGAATGCATGTTTGCCAAGCTCAGAGGTTGAAAATATAATTGTGGGATGTTTTTTGTATATATTTCTCCAGACGTTTTCCACCCCGTTAGGGACATGTACATGGTAATCAGAGTTTAAATAATGTACAAGTCAAACAATACTGAACTTTTCTGGGATACAATGTGTCCCTTTTGCCATGATAAAAGTTACATTCTTGTAGCATTAACAGTTTTAATTTTATGAAGAGTACAATGTCAGAATAATAGAATCTGTGCATTTTTTGTCCCCATTTTGTTGTCTTGTATGAAGAATTTTATTAATTAGAAATAAAAGTATATGTAGATGCATTATATGTACCTCATTTAACAAAACTATATGTAGCGTGTGTGCTAGCTAAATGTTGCTCACTCAAAGAGCTAGAGCTAAATTAGCTAGAAATATTCCACCCTGTTAGGTTCCACCCTGTTAGGCTATGTATGGGATATGCAGCCTACTGAGTAGAAATTGTACAAGAATATTTATTATTTTCATTAAAATTACTTGTAGATTTATTATTTGAGTGTATTTCTTGTGTCTGATAATGAATAATAATGGTATAATCAAAAAGTATTATTAGTATTATTATTAGTATTATTATTATTATTATATGAGTGTATTTCTTAATTATTTATGTTACTACAGTGGTATTATTATTATTATTATTATTAGTTGTAGTAGTAGTATTGTTGTTGTGAATCTGAATCTACTTGTTAAGAGGCCTACTCAGTTCCACCCTGTTATATTCTATTCCACCCTGTTAGGCAATGATTTAAAAAAATATTCTAATCACAACAGTAAGTGTTTGTATATTTGTATAGCTGATCAGCATTTAAATAGCTATTTTTAACATGTTTTAAAAAATATTTTTTCCAATAAATATATAATATATTATATAATTACAGAAAACAAAATAAGTTTCACCAGATTTGTTTCTTTCTCTAAAGGTAGTATACTGTATACCCTAGTCTATCAAAATAATAAAGAATAAGTTTTTATAATTTTATACTTTATATTTACTGAGGAAGTTGAATACATTGCATTTGGGACATGCTAAAATGAGCGCATATTCCAGAGAAATGGTGCTTTAAAGAAATGTAAAAAAATAAAAATAATAATTTATCTTTGTTAGAGCAATAGAAAACACCTAAACACATAATAAAATAGGTTTGTTATAAAGATTTGTCTAATTTTATAAAAGAATAAGAGCCAGTTAAACACAAGGACATGAATATGTGGCCCAAAACAGGAATCACCCTTCTATTAAAAGGGCTACATGTGAGGAACAGGAGACATTAACAAAGAGTATAAAAACAGCTACAGAATTTTAACTGCCAGTTATAAAGCATGTTATATTGTTTTGTAAAATCTGTCCATCTATCAGCCCAATCGTCCATCCATCCATCCATCCATTTTCACCCTGGATGTGATGCCATCACAGGGAAATTATAATTAATGAAAAAGAGAAAAACAATGTTTCCATAAAATAACAGAAGTTTCCCATCACTGTGTGATCAGGTAGACGCTCATAGCTGGACACCACACTGCTGTAAGTGCTGCTGAATGCTTACCTCTGTTTTTCATTATTCCCTCCTTCATCATCATCTGCCAAAAATGGACAGCAGTGGAAACAAGAGAAAGGATTGTTAAATAAAAAATAAACAACCCTGTTCCCACCTGCAGACAATCACCTAGTCTGCACACCTTTAGTAACAATTAATCCCTACAAATGTCTGAAAAAAAGGGGGGAAATAAGCAGTGAAAGCGTACATTTCACGTTTGCCAAATTGTATTTGTACGCATACTGTAATAAATGGCTGTAAAATGAATATGGCTGTATGTCTGTTTCCAGTAATCTGATGCCTGCGATGTATTATGAAAGACATCTGACTGGGTGTCTGATTGAGAAAACAGTCAGATCTGTAATATTTATCATATTATATAAATGTGTCATAATCTAGAAATATGTTAATCCTGAGGCCTCTGTACAGCTCCCAGGTGTAACATACAGATCAGACACTCATGTATTTGATAAAGAGCAGGACCTGTATCTGATGAGGTCATCAGGCCTGTATTATGGAATGTCTCCCTTATAGGTAATGCTAATATGTAAGTTAATCTTCCTGTACATTCATAGAGACACTTTAAATTATAGCCATCAAACATCAGTAACTGACAGTAAAATAAGTTTTAAAATATTGACATTGAAACCATTTTCTCCTGTGTTTGTGTTAATGTCCTTCCTTTCTGCCTGAATGACATGTTACATACTGTGTATATCATTGGCTACAGTCTGCAGTACAGACATCTTACCCTCAGGGACTGACAGGGAAACCCGTTTTCCCACAGCTGAACCTTTGCTGATCTCCACACCACACCAGTAGGAACCAGAGTCCCCATCTGTCAGATTGTTCATGGTCACAGTGAAGACTTGCTGGTCAGGATCATCTCTTACTGACACTTTACCCTCGTGTGGAGAGTCAGTGCGTACTATGGCAGCACATGAACTCCAGTCACTCCCTTTGCACCAGTATTTCACATGTGTTTTATATCCATCATCATAGGCACATGGGATGGTGACAGATCCTCCTCTCTGTACAGTTACCGTGCTCAATGTGGACACACCTGCAGGGACAGTATGAAAATCACCAAGGTCACGTATTTATCAACTTGATCCCTTTTATATATACTCAGCAAAAAAAAGAAACGTCCCTTTTTCCAGGACTGTGTATTTCAACAATAATGTTGTAAAAATCCAAATAACTTTACAGATCTTCATTGTAAAGGGTTTAAACAATGTTTTCCATGCATGTTCAATTAACCATAATCAATTAATTAACATGCACCTGTGGAATGGTCGTTAAGAGCTTACAGAAAGTAGGCATTTAAGGTCACAGTTCTAAAAGCGCAGGACACTAAAGAGACTTGTCTACCGACTGTGAAAAACACCCAAAGAAAGATGCCCA